ACCACGGCGGCATATTCAGTCAGTTTAGCCTCTTCAAAATCAATGATGTCCATCTCTATTTTAGGCATCGGAGCAGGAGCAGTGACAAAGGTTGTCCTTTCCATGGGCTGAATGGGGTCACACTAATCAGAGCCAGCTCTTGCCAGCCAGGTGCAGTTAGTCCTCGGCACTTCACGTATGTGAACTTGACCTGTCACTGTCACTTCATGAGATGCCAGCTACTTTCATACCCATTGGCAGCCGGGAAAAGAGAGGCACAAAGGAGTGAAATCGTATAGCGGTGTATGAGAATTTCAACTCAAAAGACATTCCATAAAATAATAGGCCTGTGTTCTACAAAAAGGTCAGTTGTGTAAAATATATACAGAAACTCTTAGGAATTCTTCCAGATTTAAGTGGATCAAATTGACAACCGAATGCATTGCACAATCCAGAATTTTATTTTGCCATAAAAGTTATTATTGGAGGCATTGGTGAAATCTGAATGAGGTCTATAGACTAGATAATAGTATTATGTCAGCAATAATTGCTGGCTTGGAATTTGCACTGTGGTATGTGAGGGAATACCCTTGCTTTTAGAAAATAACACACCAGCTTGTTAGGGGATAGGCGGGGATTCTGTCAGAAACCAAGCCTTGCATGAATCAGGAAAAAATTATAAATCGGTGGGTAGATAGCTAAGGAAAAATAACATGAATATGGTAAGGTTGAAAAGAATACAGGAGTTCTTTCTATTCTTGCAACTTTTCTGCAAGTTTGAAATTATATCAGGACTAAAACTTAAAGAGAAAAAGCAAACATCAGAGCAGGTGTCGTAAGGCGCATGTTAACAACACGCCCAGGCCCTGTGCCCTGCCCTCCGGGCGCCACACTTTTGGTGTGGTGGCTCCATGGGAGTGGCCAGAGCCTCTCCTCACTACACTCTGTCTGGAGAGGCTGCTGTGGCCCCGTTTCACAGATGCAAGACAGTAAGGTAAAGGGATTTGCTCCAGTCCCACAGCAACTTGGAGTTCCCAGACTTCAAAGTAAGATCTCCGAGTCCAAGTCTTGCTCTTAGCTTCAGCCCCATCGGCACTCTACCTTCAGATAGAGGAGGGGCTGGGCCAGGCATTTCTTCCTGAGGCAGTGACAGAGCGAAGACCTTGGGGCAGAAGCCAACAAGATCCATTTTCAGAATGAAAAGAGACATTTATTCTAGAATTCTGCAGGGAGAAAGGCCAGTGTGCAAAGCAGAGCATTCCGGCATATGGCCTTCGAAGGCCCCGCGGGGTTGCCGTGGGTGGCCACCAGGGCTGCCCGCAGGGGAGCCCCAGAGCATAGCCTGGAGTGACCTAGGCCTTCCATTCTTTGCTGGAAGACTGGCCATGAAGAAGCTCTGGGAGGTGACAGGAGAGCCTCGCAGCCAGGCAAGGCCAGCTGTCCAGGCTGGAGGGGTCAGTGGCACCAGGAGCTAGTGGGAGGCAGTTTGGGGAATTCTACAAGCTGGACCCACAAGCCCTGTGGGTAGGTGGGCAGGAATTGCTGAGGACCGGGGTCTAACCTGACAGGTCGCCCTGGGGAGTCGGGTGAGGAGGAGGGCTACTCTTCAGGCTGGAGGGAGGGTGAGGGAAGAGCTGAGTGACCTCTGGCTGTCCCTCCCAATCACCGGGGCTGTCTGGCTTTTCCCCAGATTAAAGAGCTGAGGGTAAGTGTCTGGCAGTGGGATGAGTCAGACTGGGAGGCTGCCTCCTTCCGTCAGCCAGCCCAGGGTAGAGGTAAGGGGCTCCGCCTGCTTCCCCTCAAATGTCATCCCCCAGTACCCTGAGATTTGGGTGGGGGAACACATGGGTTGTGTAAATTGGTTTATTTTGCTGGGTCCTGCGTGTGCATCTGAGCTAGAACCCGCCTGTGCATGTAGGTGCAAACATCACCCATTGTAAAATATCAGTGTTTTCATGGGTGAGTAGTAATTACTGGGTAATGCTTTAAAACCTTTCCTGAAGGAGCGCAAAGCTGGGTCTTTTTTTTTTCTAAAGTCAGGAGTACATTAAAAGGATTACCATGTAGATTTGATTTTTAGATAACACTAAAATGGATCCCAAATGGACTTCAGCAAGGGGATGCTATCTCCTTAATGGAAAGTGCATGGCCTGAGGCTCAGCTCCCAGAACCAGGCCAGGGAGGGAGGGAGAGAAGAGGTGTCTGCAGGGGCAGACTAGGAGGCTGGGGGCGGCTGGGGGGGCGCTGGAGCGACAAGGCAGAGAGGGAGAGCCTGGACCCTCAGGGGAGCATCTCCCTCCATTTGGGTAGCAGAAGTGCACAGATGCCACCTTCAGGGCCCCCTACCTCTGTGGACTAGCTCAGTGACAGCAAACATAGTGGGGTACTCTGTAAAGAAGGAGGGGTGAGTCAGATTTCACCTAGACCTCAGACTTTCCAGGCAGAGAAAGCCCAAGGTCCCTCAGATGCTCGGGGAGCCCCAAGCAGGCTGGCCATGGTGGTCCATGTCTCAGTGGGCATCGGACACTGGCAGATACCCCATGGCTCTTGTGGGTTCACCAGAGCCCAGGAAGTGGTGTTTAGTGCCCTAGTGCTGGGCATCAGGCCCTATAGAGCCCTGCATGTTCCAGGTCCAGCCTAGGCACACGCAGGGAGCAGGGAACTGGGCAGAGGCCTCACTGCCTGTCACCTCAAGGCCCTGTAGGTGCCAGGTCCCCTTGGTGCTAGAACTGAGGCTGGTGCTGTAGCTCACATGCAGGCTGGCCTGTTCCCAGAGCCATACCACATGGAAGGCAGAGCAAACAGATTGCCTATGCTGGGGTCCCTCTGCATTTGAGGTATAACGTAATAGGCCAGATATATCCCCTGTGTGTGTTTTATACACACACAGCCAGTGACAGCAAAGTATCTGGGGGCACAGAACAGCTGGGAAGGGAACCAGGCATGCTGCTAGCCCAGGTGAGCAAAGAATCAGCCTTGGGGTGCTATCTAATCGCCAGGCCTGAGACTTTCCAAGGTGATGTTGCTGTGGAGAGCTACACTGACTGGGTATTCCTCCAGGAGCCCCCAGTACAATAGTCCCTGCCTTCGGGGTCCTTAGGCCTTCCCACAAGCATGTCCTTAGACTAGGCTTTCACTCCCGGGGGTGCCAGGACCCCGCCCCCCCGGCTTGTGCAGCCTCCTCAGCAGTGTGACCACACTGGCCATGCCGAAGAGGCAGGGCCAGGGCTGGGGACAGTCATCCTGAGCCCTATCGCTCTCTCAGACCAATTAACCTTTAAAGCTGCATTCAGGAAATTAGGCAGCATGTTTCCCAGCTGCTGATGGGTCCTGTGGGGCTGGAGGAAGGAGAAAGGGGAGCGCCCCCTGCAATCTACAGTGCCTTCTCCCTGCCCTCACCTGGCCTCCTGCTGCTAGGTTTTGAAGGGTAGCCTGGCCAAGGGTCACCCCCTCTCTAGAAAAACCTGAGAGGCAGTGAGGTTGAGAAAGCACATGGGAGAGGAAGTCTCCACACCAGGGCCAGCTTGACAGGTCGCAGAAATGGCGTCTAGGGCTGCCTGGGCCTCAGTGTCCCCACCCATACAGTGAGAGCAATTGCCTCTAACTGACACCTGTGCGTTCCAAGCGTGAGGCTTGGTGGCTGGTTGACTCTGGGGAAAGGTAACCCCAAGAAGTGGTGGGGGGGGGTGAAGGCAACTATCCAAGCAGCTGAGACTCTGGGCTGGGGACTGTGGGCTGGAGACCCTCAGAGGGTCTCATTCGAGAGGATGAGAGCTGAACCAAGTCCAGGAAAATAAGGGGTCTTTGAAAGGGTGGGGCCAGGAGCACAGAGGCTCATTGGTAAGTCAAGCAGGAGGAAAGGGCTGAACACTTCCCTGCAGTCGACCCTCTGCCCACCCAAGCTTTCAGCCGGGAAGAACCCACACCCCTCACGAGGGGCTCTCGGGCTGGGGCTCCTGAGACTCGCTGCCTCTACTTCCAAGCCAGGTCTCCGCCACTTGTCTCACTTGTCTCATAGACCCCCAGGCTCGTGCACAGCTGTCCAGCAGCTCCACAGTTGTCCTTCCCTGTGGTCACTCCCATGTGGCTGGGGGTGGGGGCAAGGAGTCTGTGCTGCTGTGCACACACCTGTGAACTGGGCCTGGCCCACAGGGTGCGTGCAGGTGCGCACGCCTGACGGGAAGCCTGTCCCTCCCTCCCTGCCTGAACACCGCCTTGTGCTAGGCAGCTGCAGATGGGAGGGAGCTTGGGGGAGGCCAGTGGTTCAGAGACTCCTACCTGGTGGGGTGAGCACTGGACCACTGCCTCAGGTAGGGGCAGGAGGTTTGAATGTAGCCCCCCACGGAGGAGCACCCCCTGGGGCCTTGCACCACGGAAGGGCACCCCACTGGGGCCGGGCCTCACTGCCTGGCTGCATGTACCTGCAGGGGCTCCAGAGCTGGCTTCCAGCCAGGGCTGTTTCAGGGTCTCACTGCCTTTAACACCTCCTTGGCACACAGGACTGTCTTGGGGTCTCCTTGGCTCTCCATGACTAGATGGCGAGATTAGAAGCCTGGATTCTCAGGCTCAGGTGGTCAAACCACCACACAATACACGAAAGTCGTGAGGTGGAGAAAGGATCCTGGAGCTCTAGGAGACCTCAAGCCCATTATGAGAGTTGGCTTTAGGGCTGCTGAAAGAGTCAGAGGGATGGTGGCTGCTTAAGGAGGCCTTTGGGGCCACTGGGGACTGGACTGTGCCAGGGGATGTGGCCACGCAGGCAAGGAGGTGAGGGTGTGGTGGGGAGACCTCCAGGTGATGCATGCCCTGCTGGGGAGCACACTTAGGCTCCCCCACGCTGCCTGCAGCCTCTCAACAGTCCTTCCCAAGGCAAGGGAACAGGTGGGGGGCAGGCAGTGCCAAGTGTATCCCCCCCGAGCCGGGGGGAACGAGCTGGGGGGGGGGTCTCCTGGGAACAGCCCCAGGCCCAGAGCTGCAAAGCCCAAGCGGTGTCCTGCTCTCTGTCTCCCGTCCACCTGCAGGTGTGCCGATGCTCTCCGTCCAGCCCAAAGGCAAGCAGAAGGGCTGTGCGGGCTGCAACCGCAAGATCAAGGACCGCTACCTGCTGAAGGCGCTGGACAAGTACTGGCACGAGGACTGCCTCAAGTGTGCCTGCTGCGACTGCCGCCTGGGCGAGGTGGGCTCCACCCTCTACACCAAGGCCAACCTCATCCTGTGCCGGCGCGACTACCTGAGGTAGCCCCACCCCGCCCCAGCCCTGCCCACCTCCTGCCAGAAGGCCCCTTCCTGAGGCCAGCCTGGGCCTGCTGGGGCTCTGAGCCCAGCTGTGTGCTGCCTGCCCCCAAGATGCCCACAGAGCCCCGAGGCCAGGTCTCGCCTTTAATGGACTTGTTGCCCAGCACAGGGCCTGGTCAGGCTTCCTGACAGCACCAGTCTGGCTCTGCCCCGACCTCAGCTAGGGACTTCTGACTCACCCTGTTCCTGGCAGGGGTCTTTCGGGAGTCCCCAGGAGAGATGGGGAAACTGACTTCCCTGTGCCCCTTCTGCTTGAGGTCTCTCTCTTTCCCACCTCTCCCCACTTTCCAGGAGGGCCCTGGGGTTAGACATCTGGTGCCTGGGAAGCCTGGCAAGAAGCCAGGCCCTAGCAGAAGGACCAGGGCTGCTCAAGTTCAGGGTCTGGGTTGAACTTGATCTGAGCCTTTGGCTTCTAACCTCAGAGCCTCCGTTTACTATTCTGTGAAGTGGTGAAAAGACTAGGCCTCTGGCCTTGTGTTCCTCAGTCTCTAACCTGCTTCCCCCCTAGCCTGGATCCTAGTCCCTGGGGCTGCCTCTCCAACTACCCCCCCCCTTAGGCCATTCATGACATCAGCAAGGTTGGACTGAGGCCACACAGGGGGCCTTGGCTGAAGACCAGCATCTGCATTTGGCTCGCATGCCGTCTGCTGGGCGGTGACCGGCCTTGGGGGGAGGAAGCCCATTGCATTAATTAATAGGTCGGGCAGGGCGAGGGCTTTGTGGGGCTCCCTCTGCTCAGGTCTGAGCATGTTGAGGATGGGGTTATCAGAAGAGTCACCACTGTTTTCCCGAGGAACCTAAGATTTATCTGCTGTCTCTAATCTTTTTAACTTCTGCCTTTTGCAGGAGTTTTCTTAAAGTGGAGCAGTAAACTGGGATCTGTGAGTCAGACTCCTGGCTGGGCTGAAGGAGAGTGGCTGAGGCCAGGGGAGGGCTAAGGAAGGATGCTCCTGGAAAGGGCCCCTGAGTCTAGAGTTTCGGGACATCACCTGGGGGCTACTGGGAGGTGGTAGTTGCAGGACCCGGAGAGGGAGGACAGGGTGCAGGGTGCCTGTCAGCAGAGCAAAGCACCCGCACACCTTCTGGGCCCCGCCAGCTACTGGAACCTGAAGGTATTTTCCTGGGCTCTGGCAGAGGCCAAGGCATGACTCTGTGGCCAGAGAGGCCATGGGCCGGCTCTTCTGCCTCAGAGGAGGACTGTCCAGAGCCCACTCTGTAGCCACGGCTCATTGGACTAGGCAAGAAAGCGCCTGCTGCCAGTGGATGCTGTGGCCAGGCCTTGTCTGCCTTAATCTGAGCCACCAGGCAGCTCAGGCTGATGAATAATGGAACCAAGCTCATCTGCAGGTGCCCTGAGCTTGTGCTGGACAAATCAGGGATTAGGGGCGCCTCCTGCCTGCCTCTCAGCCCCCTTGCTGCATCTGGGGCTCGCTCTGTCAGTGTGCAGAAAGGGAACAAGGAGGAGCCTGGCTGGCTCAGACCACTGGAACACCCAGCCAAGAACTGGCCTATGCGGAGGGACTGAGCGCCCTGGCCCTTAGCCTGGCTTTGCAGCCAGAAGCTAAGAGGAAGGGGCTCTGTCACAGAGGCATTAGGCCAGATGTGTCTGGAGCTCCCTTTTCATGTCAGTCCTGTTTAAGAAAGAGCTTTGAACAAGACCATCTAGTTCAGCATCTCCATTTTAAACAAGGATAAACAGCCCCAGGGAAAGGAAAAAGGGACAGAGGCAAGTTCCACGGTGTGCTAGTAGGAGTCAAATGATCACTTCTGAGGCTTGTTGTCAGGATGCGATGAGTTGGTCTTGGTAGAACCCTTAGAACAGCATCTGGCACACAGAACACACAATAGAGGCGTCGCCTAAGTGAGTTGGGACAGACAGTTTACAAAAGTTTTCATGTGGCTTTGAAAGATTTTTCACTCCTTTTTTTTTTTTTTAAGTTTATTTTTACATCATTTTGCACATTTTTTTTTCATCTCAATTGTAATCCCCACGGGTTTCCCATCACCAAATCACCCCTGTGCCACCACCAT